CCTACGTGGGTGGTTTGCAGTGAGCGGACAGTAGATGGCCATGAACATGAAGCTGGGGCAGAAACCGCACAGCTTTGACAAGGGCAGTGTACTGTGGCCATATTCTTTTCCTTATCTGCTGCCCCCAGGCTGAATTTCTGAGAGCTGTTTCTGAGCAAATATAAGTAGTACTTTAGCCTGAGCCTTGGAGACAGGAGCCTGAGTTGTTGGTGAAAAGGGAGGAGGGGAGAAAAATACGTGACAGATCTGAGCCGCCACTGCCTCACAAGCCTGTGCCCTATAGCCTGGGGTTTGGCTTTTTAACAGGCAAGCTGGCCTAGGGCCCATCTTCTCACAGCCATAGTCAGGGGGTGCTGAGCCAGCACGACTTGATGGGAGGGCCAAAGCCAAGACAAGCACAAGGATGGTCCTGCTCGAAGCCAGGGATGGGGCATGTCTACCTGGGACCCGGAGCAGGAGAAAAATCACGGGCTCCTTCCAGCCCAGGCAGAGAAGAGGATGATCACGTCGAGGCCAAAGGAAGGGAGTGATTGTACCTGAGGTGGAGGAAGCGGGAGGTAACTTGGCACTGCCTCGGCAACTGCATGCCAAGCCTGGTTGCTGCTGCTTTGTGTTTATTTACAAGTCATTTGGGTTCATCCTTTCTCTTGTTTGGTGAGCACATCCTGAGCCTCTTTCATGAGTTGGGTGTTATGAAGAGGGAAGGCCTGAACCAGAACCTGCTCTCTGCTAGACTGTAAGAGGAAGTAGCGGAGAGGAGGAGTTAAAGGACTTGAGAAGAGAGAGAGGCTGGTGAGAGCTGGAGAGGACAGCGTGGAAAGGTCACTTACCTTGAAACACATAAAATCTTCTGAGGTGAAAAGGAGAGTTGGGAGAACATTCCAAATGGAAGGGAACAGTATAAGCAACAAGAAAAGCTTGAAGGAGCTGTTCAGGCTTCAGGAGTCCAGCTTGTCTGTGACAAGTTTGGATAGAGCTGTGTGCATAGGAACAGCAGGGGGAGGGGGTAGGTCAGTTGGTTAGAGGCAGATCATAGACTGAGAGGAAGCTGGTTGTGATCTTACGGGCAGTGAAAGGTAGTGCAGGCCTGAGCGCTTGTCTTAGGCTTACATTACTTACATTACTCAGGCTCGCCTTTGGGTGTCTGCATTCTGAGGGAAAGAGGATGGGAGGCCAGGGGCCTGATTGTCTTCTTCCACTAGATTGTAAGCCCCAAGAGGACAAAGATGTCTATTCATTGAGGTATCTCTGGCACTTAGAACCATGCTTAGTATATAGAACACAAAGATAAATATTTGTTTGAAGCATATGAATCTTAGGGCAGCCACCCAAGATCCAGGCCTAAGCCATCTGCCATGGCTGACAGAGCCCCCAAGTCTGACCACTGGGGTCAGCCTAAGAGTGTGGTTTCACCAAGGAGGAGAGGCCAAGGTGCCCTGTGGCAAGGAGGGGTGGTGGTAACCTTATGGCTGACTGGTCCCCCTTCTGAGCCACATTTCCTTCTTCTTTGGGAACCCTAGAACTGCCTGATAAAGAGGGATGAGAATGGTTACTCTGCAGTGGTAGCTGACTTTGGCCTGGCTGAGAAGATTCCTGACGTCAGGTGGGTAGCCCTAATAGGTACTGGGGTCACAGAAGGGACTGAAGTAAAGGGAAGACTCCAGCTTCCTCCCCAGAGGCCAGAACTTGGTCACAGCTCAATCCCAGCTCCCTAAATTTGGTCAGTCTTAGTGCCTATCCTTCAGGGAGAGGAATTCCCAGTGGTCAGATATCCCATTGCACCAGCCAGTAGCAAGCTTATTATCCATATAATCTCTCCTCTGCCCCCACCCCACAGCATGGGGAGTGAGAAGCTGGCCGTGGTGGGCTCACCCTTCTGGATGGCACCTGAGGTTCTCCGAGATGAGCCCTATAATGAAAAGGTGAGTCTGGGGACCCCGGGGCCTGGTTCTCCTTAGAACCCACTCTTAGCAGAAGGTATCCAGGATCACCCTATATGTTCCGGGTGAGGATCTCTATCCTTCTAAGAGCAGAGCTGGTACTCGGCAGCTGCCCAGTAAGTGAACTGAATGAAATGCACACAGTAGGGCTCAGGCCTGGGCTAGTGGACCTGAGGGGCAGAAACCCCACCTCTCACCCCACTGAGAAGGAAACTGAGGTCTCATTACCCACCAGGCGGACGTGTTCTCTTACGGTATCATCCTCTGTGAGATCATCGCCCGCATCCAGGCTGATCCAGACTATCTTCCCCGCACAGAGGTGAGCTGCAGGCATAGGGCACAGTGCCAGTGGGATGGGGCTGGTTTTGAAGCTATGGAACTGTTGTTCCCAGGGTGGAGTTGCTGGAACTGTCTGTATGGTTACTTTGGGGCAATTCTCAGCCTCTCCTAAGCAGGCCAGGATGGGTGGAGGGATTAATGACCAGTTTACCATGTCCCATCCCTACCATACCTATCCACAGAACTTCGGGCTAGACTATGACGCTTTCCAGCATATGGTGGGAGACTGTCCCCCAGACTTTCTGCAGCTCACCTTCAACTGCTGTAATGTGAGTCTCTCCCTCCCTTTCCCTCCCCCCAGCTTTGGTCAGGGGCTCGCTGAACTCCTTTCATCTGGGTAGGACTATAGGAGGAGGAGCCTCCCTTTCACTGATGAATGGCAGTGCCCACAGCCCCTCCTCCAGGCCTGACAGACTTGTCGAGAGCCCTGGACCAAGAAAAGGAAAATTCCTCTGTATTATACAGTCCTCAGCCTGCAGGGTAGACTCACCACTTCTTGCCCTGGACATTGATAGAGCTCTGGTCAGTTTCAGTTGGACTTTGGGTCCAGCTGATCTTAAGGCCCATGGGAAGAGCTTTTGTTAGCCTTCATTTTATACAGCTCTGGGGCTGGACCTACCTGTCATGACCAAGGGATAGCTGGGCTTTGTCCAGGTAGCTCCCAGAAACATGTTAGCAAGAACAGAACAAACCAATGTAAGCATACCCTTTTGGATGGTTCTGTGCCCATTGAGAGGATAAGACATACAGAAAGGGTGCTGACACAGGTGGGTATGAGACAATAGCATCTTCCCTGACCTTAGCTCTGGGAATCACTCTCATGGTCTGGGGCCTTTAGAAAAGATCTCTTAGCTGCATATCTGAATCTTAGAAGATGCCAGAAACAGACTCAAATGCCATCTTTGGGGTAGAAGATAGGAGGGCAGGGCTAATGGCTGGTGTGGATGACTACAGATGGACCCCAAACTGCGCCCATCCTTCATGGAGATTGGGAAGACCCTGGAGGAAATTCTGAGCCATCTACAGGAAGAAGAGCTGGAGACGGATAGGAAGCTGCAGCCCACAGCCAAGGGTAAGAGGTTAGACCAGAGTGTTCCACCTGACCCCAAGGGGGGAAATTAGGGTGTGGGGCCTTCCTTTCTAGGGCTGATTGTAGGAGCCCATGTCCAGAAGAAAGGCAAAGGGCAGGGGATGATGGAAAAAGTTCTGTTATGACTAGTGGGAATAACCCTGATTTGACTCATTGTTTTTTTAGGACTCTTAGAGAAAGGACCTGGGGTGAAGCGACTGAGCTTACTGGATGACAAGATCCCTCCCAAGTCCCCACGCCCAAGACGCACTATCTGGTTGTCTCGAAGCCAGTCAGACATCTTCTCCCGTAAGCCCCCACGTACAGTGAACGTCTTGGATCCGTACTACCAGCCACAACGAGGTGGTGCTGCCTGCACCCCCAAAATCAACCCTTTCAGTGCTCGCCAGGACCTCAAGGGTGGCAAGATCAAGTTCTTTGACTTGCCCAGCAAGTCTGTCATCTCCCTGGTATTTGACCTGGATGCACCAGGGCCTGGAACTCTGCCTGTGGCTGACTGGCAGGAGCCCCTGGCCCCACCTGGTCGCCGGTGGCGTTCTTTGCCTGGTTCACCAGAGTTCTTGCATCGAGAGGCCTGTCCATTTGTGGGCCGAGAAGAATCACTATCTGATGGGCCCCCACCACGCCTCAGTAGTCTCAAGTACAGAGTGAGAGAGATCCCGCCATTCCGAGCATCTGCCCTCCCAGCTGCTCCGGCCCATGAAGCCATGGACTGCTCCGGTCCCCAAGAAGAAAATGGTTTTGGGCCCAGGCCCCAGGGGGCCAGTCCATGCCTTGCAGGTGCCTCTGAGGAAATGGAGGTAGAAGAAGAAAGGCCAAGAGGCTTGGCTCCAGTCCCTTTCTCTGTCTCAGGCATAGGCCTGAAAACCCAGGGAAAACAGGATGGGTGAGAGGGGTTAGTCCCCAGCTCACCTTGGGGGTGGACCTTCCTTTGAAGCCACAGGGCCCCCTTGGTGCACAGCCTTGACTCTTCCCTGCGGCCTATAGAGCAGGCAGGCCAGGCCAAGCCAGGGTCAATCTGGGGGCTCCAAGTGCCCAATGGCTGTGTATGAGAGGGGAGGCAGCAATGAAAGCCCTTCCTAGTTAGGGCCAACAGCTGATACAAAGCTTCTGAAATCCAGCGAGGAGCTCTGGCTCCCATCCGACTCCCAGTGCACTTCCCCAGACAGGACCAGAGGACTCCTAGTTCTAGTTTGAGCTGGCAGGCAGCTAATACCCCAGGTTCTTCTCCCACCCCAGGTCTATCTTTTGCCCTTTCCTGGGTCATATAAGCTACTGGATGGAACCTGGAGCTAACCAGGAAGCCATAAAAGGCATGGCTATTTCTCAGACCTAAAGACCGGGGAGCTTCTTGCCAGGACATGTGAGACACTTGAATAATTGCTGTTTGCACTTACTGCATGGTCAGACCACGTTACTACATTTCTATGCAAGGGGAGGGTGAGGCAGCGTGGTGGTCATGGCTCTTAGCTAACCTATTCAAAAATCTTTTCCAGTTGATTAATCTATTTTCATATTTATGAAGGAGTCTTAATGTTTTGCCCCATAAAACTTTCAACTTTGTGGTTGGGAGTGGGGCTGGTTTTGTAGGCCTCAGGGCCTGCTCTATGTATTTGTCAACATGTGATACACTCAGTTGGTTAAATGGTTTATACATGGACTGGTTTTCTTCCTTTCCTGCTATGGCTGGAGCTGTGGGAACAGTCTGTCCTTACAGAGCCGCGATAAGAAATAACCAAAGATGAAGCTGGTCAAATATTTTCATAACTTGTTTCTGTTGATTTTTTGGTAATACTTTTTCCCAAGACACTTTCAGATTTAAAAATAAAGTCTATGTTACAGGTGCTGGTCAGCCTCCTTACGTGTACCCTTGTTCCTCAGCCTTCAGGGTAAAGGAGAAGGTCCAGGCCAAGACTGCCCCCACCCCTACCCCCCAATTCTGTAGAAGGTGGGAGTAGGACATTCACAGGCTAGAGGGACCCAGACACCTCTGTGCCATTCTCACCCCTCTTCCTGGGCCTTGAGTGCTAGGCAGAAGTTGGGTCAGCTGCTGCCCCAAGCCAGCTTCATCTTCTGGTTGTGGGCTTTGGAGGATCGGGAGAACTGGCTCTTGGCCACTGTGAGGGGCACAGCTTTGCCACTCAGGTATACCTTGTTGTGGCATTCGGGTAGCCAGGGTCCAGAGCTACAGAGCTGGGGTCCTTGGCTCACGCCCACATAGGCCATCACATAACCTGTCATAAAGGCATCAAAACCAGCCCGATGCAGTCCATCCCCAGGCACTGGGTGAGGACCGGCTTGATTCCCTGGTGCTTCTGAGGCAGCCATATCAGAAGTTTCCGGCCCTGCTGCTTTAAGCCCCAGCTCCAAGTCATTTTTGTGACCTTGCTCTAAGCCAGGCTGGCTCCTCGTCTCATCCTTAGCCACCTCCTGCTCAATTTCTTCAGCCTGGAGGCCATCCCCGCAGACCTGCTTCACGGGAGGACAATCCTCATTTTCCTCAGAGGTCTGTTTCCCAGGCAGGCCCAACAAAGCCCTCCGCCGTTTGTCCCTACGTCGCCGCCGTCGCCGCTTGTCCTCCACCACAGCCTCATCAGTGTCAATGATAAGATCGATATCATGGGACCGAGGACACTGTGGTCCCAGGGGACACCAACCGTAGGCCTAGAGGTAGGAAAGAGACTTAGAGAGGGGGTTCCAGGCATCAGGAACCTGCCCTCCCCCAAGAAATGGGCAGGTGCTCTCACCGAAAAGTTGTCACAGACGCTGGTGGAATGAGGACGGTGGGTTGCAGGGGGCATGCAGCAGCGGTAGTCAATATGGGCCCTCATGCTAGATGGGTAGCTGCAGAACTCCAGGGTCAGGTGCGGGCCGCCAGCTGCCCGCTGCTTCCCATTTTCCCGCTCGCTGAAACAGCGGACAAGGGTGTTGGTCCACAGCTTATATACTCCATGGGAATAGGGTTTTTTGTCAGTTCTGCTTACTGCTGAGTCCTCAGCACTTAACACAGTGCCTGGCACATGGCAGGCACTCAATAAATACCTTAAGTAAATGAAATAGGCTTATACCAGGCCCCACCCCTAAGCCTTAACCAGTTGCTCACCATTTCCGGAAAGCATATTCTAGGTAAGAGGCCACAAAGCGCACATGAAACTCAGCAGCATATTTGGTGTCATAAATGCCGGCTGGGAACATTTCACACAGGTCAGCAGTGAAGGTTCCCAAGCTCTCGGGCAGGTGTGCGTAGAAGTTCTGGTACAGGAACACCAAGTCTATAAGACCATTGTGTAGTACCAGGGGCCGACGGGCCCGGATTAGCTCCAGGAACAGGGTCCTCACTGACTGGCTCTGACTCTCATCTCCCTGGGTGGAAAGAAAGGGGTCACTGGGAAGGACAGTCCCGTAGGGAGCCTCTCTTGCAGGACACTTATCCCCGGGTGCCCCTATCTGGAAAGCTCTCGCTCCCTGCCTTCCCAATGCTAGTCTTCTGTGGATCAGGCTTATTTCCCCAGCCCTATCCCTAGTGATTTCCCATCCTCCCTAAGAAGCAGACCCTCCCACTGCACCCAGCCTCGGTTAGGAAGAAATAAAGTCACAGGAGGGGCAGTCTCAAGGCTGGAGACCTACCTTGTCATTGCCCTTGTGGTACGGGATACCCTGGGCATACTGCCGGTTGAAGTTGAAGCCATGCTGAACCAAGAACTGTACAGACTTTGGTTCTATCACATATTCTTCCATGCACAGCAGGGTCAGATTGAACACCTGAGCCAGGTAGGAGTGTTCACCCTGAGAGAGAAAGGATCTGCTCCCTCGGGATTCGGGATAGAAACACCTTACAGCCGATGTTCTCCAGGATCTCAACCCTCTTTCCCCCTAACCACAGACCAGGGATAGGAAGGAGACCAGTCCCTACCTTGTCTAGCTGCTGCTTGAAGCAGGCAAGGCCCAGGGAGAGAACAGAACGGGTCCTGGCCGCATGACACACGGACTTGTAACGTTCCTCGATGCACCTTGGGGTTGGGTTTAGGAGGTGGCTGTGGCTGGGAGTTAGCCCTCAAACCACCCAGGACTGTGACTTCTACTCCAGGGATGAGGTCTGCCCCTCCTGCCAAGGTTGGCACTAAGATCAGGGCTTATACTTACTGGTTCAGCAAACTCTTCCTGTCCCCAAGCCCACTCAGTTCCTGGGAGTGTGTAAAGGGAGTTTTGTTTTAGGTTCCCAGCACCAGCCCTTTCACAACTATCTGCCCTCCCCATCCCCCAGCCCTCACCGTGTCCACAGCCACGAAGCTAGCGGTCTTTATGGCCAGCAGGAGCGACGGCCACATCTCCTTGAAGTTGTCACTCTGCACATCCACCACGGGCACCTGGACTACTAGCTCCTCCTCAGATTTTGTGCTTTTGCTGACACCACCTGAGGGTAAGGAGAGCGATGGATGGTAATGCTGAGGCAAAGGCCCGGGGGAAGAGATTCCAAGGTAGGCCATGGCTGGGGGTGGAATGTTGGGGGGCAGTTTCCATTAAGGCAAGAAATAGCATCTCTCTCCTGCAAGCCTTTGTATCACCACACGTGCTCTACGCACAGGCCTTGGAGTGAACAGTGCCCTGAATTTGGGAAGAGAAAGCTGGCGTCTTCCAGTGGTTTATATGAGACTTTGAGTAAATTACTTCTCCCCTCAGCGTCACAATCTTTAGAGGAGGAAGGCTGGACTAGACGATCTGTGAGGTTCCCTCTTCCCACATGCCGCAGGAAATCCTTCTCAGGGCTTGAGGAATGCGACTCTTTTAATACCCCCCAAAGCTCCATAGTACTGTTCCCACGGGGCCCCAGGAGCCACATGCGGCGCTAACCAGTACGCCCCAGGGCCTCATAGATAATTCCTCACACCCAAGCTCCCAATCCGTTCCACTTCCTTCGGACCCGCGCCACTTAACAGAACCACGAACTCTAGACTACACCTCCCGACACGCCCCTACCGGCCCCGACTGCTCCCAACACGCCGGGCTTCTGCGCCCGAGCCGCGGTGTCCGCCGGGATTTGTAGTCTCCTCGTGGCTGGTTCGGAAGGAATGAGCTAGTCCTCTGAACACTGAGATCAGTTTCTAGAGCCGAAAGCCCTAGGCCTTCCCCCGCTCCGGAGCGCACAGGGTTTTAAGGCGGGAAGCCCTGGGAAGCCACTCACCGTCAGGGGCCGCTGGGGCTGAAGCTGCGCCATCGCCACTGTCGGCGGCCATTACACGGCGCGCCCCTTGCTTGAGTAGTCGGTGGGTACGCCGGGCTTCCGCTTCTTCTCTCCGCTCGGCTCCGGCGGTCGGGGACGGGGCGGGGCCTCGCCCGCCGAGTCGCCGACGGGTCGGACTTCCGTTCACACCTCCCGGGTCTGGCGCGGAGGCGGCGGCAGGGCGCGCGCGGGGACCTATTGGCGGGCGCCGTGCGGGTCGGAGCCACGCCCCCTGGAGTGCGTCGGGAGCCGGGCGCGGGAGACCGAGCGGGAGGTAATTTCTTCTCCGCGTTCTCCGGGCGGGAACATGGGCGGCCGCTTCGCGCGGTTTTCATCCACGCGGCCCCGGGGTGGGGGTCCCCAGCGGAGGTGACGCTACCTCGGCCAGCCTGAAGCGCGCCTAGGAGTTTACGCACAGACAGGGCAGTGTAGGGGAAAGAAGGATATTCTGGGTATAGGCACATTCACAGGCAGGATGGAGACCTCACTTCCAGGAAGTGAAAAGGCGGGGAGAGGGACTCAGGCCGCCAGAGGGGTTAGAGTCACCGACTGGCGGGGAGGCCTTTACAATAATCCAGGCAGGAGGGGTAGTTGACCTAGAGGGTGATTGCACTTGACTCCTGATACCCTGAGAGACATGCCCTTACCGGAGGCCAGTTCTTTTTCAAGGACTCCGGTTCCCATCCTCTCGACCCACCAAGGAGTTTCAACCCTTTCTCTTTGAGTATTCACTGTTTCTAGTTCGTCTTCAACCTTTCTCTCTCCACTGAGTCTTTTTCATCATTATTTTGGATCGTTTGGATTTCTCCCATTCTAAAGAAAGAAAACCTCTTACTATTTCTTCTCTCATCCAGTTTTAATTAACAGTGCTTGTTGTTTGCGAATTACCTGGCACTGTGCTCCGCTCTGGGGACTCAACAGTCAACAAAAAGACTCGGTCCTTGCTCATGGAGTTCTGTAGTCAAGTCGGGGAGGTGGACACTGATCAAAGAAATATAAATAAATGTGAAATTACAATTAGTATAAGAGGAAAATGGAGAATTACACAAGAGGGTGAGACTGGGGGAGGGGGACTGATTTGGACATTTAAGTCAAGACCTGAAAGAATGAATGTTAGGTGAAGCACAGGATAAGAGAGGTACAAACTACAGCTGTACGAGAAACGGATTGGGTGAGATGTCACAGCCGACAGGTGGGGGGTTGAAGCAACTATTTAGGCAAAGATGGCTGGAGCACAGTGAGTGAGGGGATGAGGCAGGTGGGGGTCTTTGGAGCCTACAAAACTATATTAAGAGGATTGAGTTCTCAGAGCAATGAATGGGAGAGCCAAAGTCCTCCAGTGGCTTACAGGGTACTTAGTGATCCTTATGCTCCCTACCTTCTTTACCTCTTTGACCTCATCTACTCATCCTTTCTTTGTGCATTCTAACCACACCGGCTTCCTTATTATTCTGCAGACACACCAGGCACCTTCCTTGGGGCCATTGCACTAGCTCCTTTTTAGGATGCCTTTGGCTAATTCCTTCAGTTGCCTTAAATCATTGGTCAAATATCACTTTAATGAGGCCCACCTTGACCATGTGCTTTAAAATTGCAACATTCCAGGTGGCTCATTTGGTGAAGCGTCTGCCTCCGGCTCACATCATGATCCCAGAGTCCTGGGATCAAGCCCCGCATCGGGCTCTCTACTCAGTGGGGAGCCTACTTCTCCCTCTCCTGCTGCTCCTCCTGCTTGTGCACTCTCTCTCTGTCAAATAAATAAATAAATAAATAAAATCTTTAAAAAAAAATAAAAAAGTCGCAACATTCCACCATCACCACTCCTTATCCCCTTTGCCAACTCTACTTCTTCTCTTTATGTTAGTATTATCACTTAACATCCTATATAATTTAATTATTATTCTTTGCCCTCCCCCATTAGACTATAGGCTTCCTGATGACAGGAACCTTTGGTGTTTTATTTACTGAAGTATTCTACGTACTTAAAACTGCTTGGCACATAGGCACTACATAAATATTTAGTGAGTGAATTAGTAGGAAGCCACTGAAGGTTTTAAGTAATAAAATAACACGATCATGTTTTAAAAGACTGCTTTACTCTTTGGAGAATAGATGGTAGAGTGAATTATGGAGTTAGGGAGTTTGGTCAAAGAGAGTTGGCTATGAAGGGAAGGAGAGTGGGTTTTGTAAAAGGGATTAAGGAGCAGGAACTTGAGCTCAGCCAATTTAGGAGAGACCATTGTTTCATATCACAAGGAAGGAGAAGGAGAATGCAGATAAGTGCAGAGTGCAGTAAACTTATGCATTCACTTTTTTTCTCTGAAGGAGGAAACAAGCTCTTTTGATGAAAATGAGGTGATGAAGTCAGGTTTTAAGGAAAGAGGTTGAGGATGCCTGGGTGGCTCAGATGGTTAAGTGGCTGCCTTCGGCTCAGGTCATGTTCCCAGGGTCCTGGGATCGAGTCCTGCATCAGGCTCTCTACTCCTTGGGAGCCTGCTTCTCCCTTTGCCTCTCTCTCTCTGTCTCTCATGAATAAATAAATAAAATCTTAAAAAAAAAAAAAAGGAAAGGAAAGAGGTTGAACCAGGGGCTCAGCAGTGACTGTGGTGTAGCACAGCACAAGAGTGCAGTCTCTGGAGGCAGGCCTTTTGGGTTTGGGTGGACAAGTTGCTTCATCTCTGCAAGCTTCAGCTTCCTCCTAACTAAAATGGAGGTGATACTAGCATATACCTAATGGAGTTGTCTGGAGATTGAGTGAGAAATTGGTATAACGCTTAGCACAGAGTCTGGTATATAATAAGCCCTCACTAACTTTTTAGTTGTTTGAGAAAAGGGCACCAAGAGAACAGTAGGGAGCAGTGAAGATCAACCAGATATATTTCACATTACCAATGGGCAGCCAGCTTTGGTTTACCGGATCAAGAAAAGATTAGGAATAAAAATAGCACATCCGCTCCCACCACCACCCCAACTTGCCATCTGCTCTCAGGCAAATCTTTTCCCATCTCTGATCCTTGGTTTCTCCTCTCTGTAGAATGGAGGTTTGGACTCCATGACGGCTCAAGGCTGTTTCATGTGCTGCATCTCTACCAGATAAACTTCCTACCTGCCCCATGCTTCTAGATACACGTAATGAACCCTTGTCCCTACACACAGTCACAGTGAGCATCCAGGATACACAGGTATATCCAGCCTAGCCCTGGCCTCTTCTTTTGTGGGTCTCCAAGATTATGCTATTGTTGGTCTCTCTGAAGTCACTTGCAGAAGTTCAGCTCCACTGGTCATACCTCAGTGCCACAGCCAGCCAGGGGCAAACTCATGAGCATCTGGAGGGTGAGGAAAGCTAGATTCTCTATAATGAGGGTTGTAGAGAAGGAGGTGGCTGTCTATATCCGTTGTGGGGCCCCAAGATTCAGCCTCATGGTGACTGACTACTTTGGGCCTTTCTCTTCTAGGCCATCATGAAGAAGCCACGAACAGCTATGAAGCGTCGTCAGAGGGAGCGGGCACCCTGCCAGGAGGGAAGGGAGAAGTGTGTCCTCAGCGGCCGCCAGGTCAAGCCTTCTACCCCCACTGGTGAGGAGCACGGTGCTAGTCAAAGATGAAGGTGCTGGATTCAGTGGCCATGAAAGGGAGGGAGATTCGGGCTGGGAAGGGAACGTGGTATGTGTCAGGGCCTTCAGGGACTAATTAAGGGTCTCATTCTGACTTTGCCCTGTAACTTTGGGACAATTGCTCTGAGTGGCTACTTTCTTACCAGGGAAATGGAGCGATTGTCTGTGCATTTCCTTCCTCCTGTGGCTTTCATGGGATCGAATGAGTTTATGAGGCTGAAAATGTTTTCTAAACGGGAAAGCCCTGCACACGTATACATTATGCTTGGCTGAAATTGTTGGGTTTTCATTGTTACCCAGACTCAAAGGAGGTAGCGGTACCACCCTGGCCAAGTTAAGGCCAGAAATCTGGCTCAGGTTACACAGAGCTAGAGAATTCCGGTCTGACTCCAGGTCCAAAGCTTAAGCAAGGGGTTGGGGGTGGGGGCGCCCTCCGTGGGAGCAGCCAGGCTGCAGTGCCCCGGGAACCTGGTGCACAGCCTGTGCAGGGACAATGCCTGAGTTTCCTGCGGCCCCAGCAGGCTTGGCCAGGCGGCAGGAGGGGGTGCTGTTGCAGGCGTCTCTCTCCCCGTACCATCTCTTCAGAGACACAGCTGACGTCAGAGTCTTTCGGGAGAACCTACTGAGCTGGTACGACCGAGAGAAGCGGGACCTACCCTGGAGAAGGCGGGTAAGCAGGCGAGGGCCAGGGACAGTGGGGTGGGAGGTCGGTGCCCAGCTGTCTCCATACTAACTCCTTACCTGGGATTGCTTTGGCAGGTAGAGGGTGAGGTGGATCTGGACAGGCGGGCATACGCTGGTGAGTGCATGTCTTGGGAGCACGCCTGCTTTGCCTGGACGCCCACTGGTCTGGGGTCCAGGGGCTGTGTGCTGGGAGCAGGGCAGCTCAGCAGTGCCCTCATGCCAACCCCTCTCCCCCAGTGTGGGTCTCAGAGGTCATGCTGCAGCAGACCCAGGTTGCCACGGTGATCAACTATTATACCCGATGGATGCAGGTGACTTCAGGGAAGGAAGGGGAGGGTCATGAGCCAGACCCCAGAGAGAGTTTAGCCTTGGGGGGGGTGGGGTAAAGAAGGTCTCCTCCACCTCCCTTGACCTTGATCTTACTTCTTTTTGATGGCCTTCGAGCTGTAGAAGTGGCCAACGCTGCAGGACCTGGCCAGTGCTTCCCTGGAGGTAAGAGTCATCCTGGGGTAGGGGGAAATGGGGACACCTGAGGACTGACCACTGATCTCTCTGATCTCACCCACAGGAGGTGAACCAGCTCTGGGCGGGCCTGGGCTACTACTCTCGAGGCCGGCGGCTGCAGGAGGGAGCCCGGAAGGTAAGGGGGTGACGGGGTGACAGGTAAGGGGGTGAGACCCAGGGCCTCAGGTGTCTCATAACATAGAGCCTCCCCCACCCCAAATCAGGTGGTAGAGGAGCTAGGGGGCCACATGCCACGTACAGCAGAGACCCTGCAGCAGCTCCTGCCTGGCGTGGGGCGGTACACAGCTGGAGCCATCGCTTCCATTGCCTTCGGACAGGTGAGCCTTAGCCCACCCCCCCTTGGTGTGTGCCCGTCCTCCTTCCTCCCGGAGCCAGCTGACTCGTGGATTCCTCTGTGCCAGGCAACCGGTGTGGTAGACGGGAATGTAATGCGGGTGCTGTGCCGAATCCGAGCCATTGGTGCGGATCCCAGCAGCACCCTCATCTCCCAGCTTCTCTGGTAGGGTCTTGGGGTCCTGGGGAGACTGGCAAGGGGGTCTCCAAAGTGTCTTTGGCTCACAGCCACATTCCCTTGTAGGAGCTTAGCCCAGCAGCTGGTGGACCCGGTGCGGCCTGGGGACTTGAATCAAGCGGCCATGGAGCTGGGGGCCACAGTGTGCACCCCGCAGCACCCGCGCTGCAGCCAGTGCCCTGTGCAGAGCCTGTGCCGGGCACACCAGAGGGTGAGCCATCTGCGGAAGGGGCAGGGAGGGATCCTAGACGGTGACCCCTGGCGCATGACGTCTGCCTCGTGCCTCTCAGGTGGAGCGGGAACGGCTCTTGGGCTCACGGAGCCCGCCGGGCAGCCCTGACGTGGAGGAGTGTGGTGAGCGCCAGCCCCAGCCCTGTACCGCGCCGTCACTGCAGTTTATTCTCCGAGCTGAGTAAGACCCTGCAGAGCTGGGCCACGGCCTGCTCCCTGGGCCTGAGCGGCGCTTGGGGATCTCTCTTCCCAGCTCCTCGCGCGGGGCCGTGCCAGCTCTGCGCGCCTCCCATGGAGCCCTGGGACCCGACCCGGGGAGTGACCAACTTCCCCAGAAAGGCTGGCCGCAGGCCCCCCAGGGAGGAGTGCTCTGCCATCTGTGTTCTGGAGCAGCCCGGGGCCCTCGGGGGTCCTCGGATTCTGCTGGTGCAGAGGCCCAGTTCAGGTACCTAGATCGTCGGAGCGGAGGGCGGTGGCAGGAGCAACAAGGGGGAAGCGGAGGAGTCGGCGGCTAAGGCCTGGCCACACCTGGCTGTCCTCTCTCTCAGGGCTGCTGGCAGGACTGTGGCAGTTCCCGGCTGTGACCGCAGAGCCCTCAGGGCCACAGCAGCGCGAGGCCCTGCTGCGGGAGCTGCAGAGCTGGGCTGGGCCCCTCCCAGCCCCCCGCCTCCGGCACCTCGGGCAGGTGCGTGAGCCGTGGGAGGGGCAGGGGTGTGGCTTTTGTGGGCACATCCCTGGGCCTGTTTCAGCCCCTTGGCCCTCCCTCCAGGTGGTCCACACCTTCTCTCACATCAAGCTGACCTATCAAGTATACGGTCTGGCCCTGGAAGGGCAGACCCCGGTGACCGTCGTGCCGCCTGGCGCTCGCTGGCTGACCCGCGAGGAGTTTCACACTGCAGCTGTCTCCACCGCTATGAAAAAGGCACTGCCTGTGTGGTCTTCGTTGTACTTTTTTGGGGTTCCTGTATGTTCTACGTGAACCTATTACCAGGAGAAAACAAAAGCGTATTTTAAACAGATGTGTGGGGGTGTGAAGTTGAGGAGAGACCACAGGGTTTGGCTCTTTGGGGGAAGGTGCCAGCCCTGCGCTCTCCCCCTCTGTCCTTGGCCAGGTGTTCCGTGTGTACGAGGGCCAGCAGCCAGGGATCCGCAAGGTGAGTCTCTTGGCCCTCCCCCAGCCGTCTTTTCCCCAGGCCCGAATCCCCGGGTTTTCAGTGAGTTAAATGACACATGCTTGGGTGAACATTATCCACTCCACACTTGGCGGTGGGGAGAGGAATAATAGTTCTTTCCTGGAGACCTTAGAGCTTGGAGGCCAGTGTGGTGAGGGAATAAGAACAAATGGTGGAGACAGTAGGGCCCCAGGTGTGCGAAATGCTTGTACTCGGTTTTGTGGCTTATGAGGTGGAGAGCTTTCATTTCTGTCTGAGAGGCAAGGATCAGGAAGGGCCGCTTAGAAGAAATAGCTGGTGATCTGCGTGGAAGAACTAAACCATTACTTCCAGGTTTGGGAGGGGAATCCGCAGTAAGAATGTTCTTCCCGGGCCCAAGAGTCATGTGGGCAATGCTGGCATAATGCGGTCAACTTCATAATGCAGCGTGCGAGGAGCTGGGCGCATTTGATGAGCAGGGCCCGCGCAGGCCAGTCAGGGCCATGAACGCCAGGCCGTTAAAGCATTTTGGGTGGAGAGAGGAGTCCGATTTGTATCTTAGGAAGACTACCTTGGGCTGCCATGTTGACCGAAGACGTAGATACTGGAGACTGGTTGGAAGCTTTACAACATTCAGACTAGAACCTGAGCTGTATTAGTGGAGTGGAGAGGGGGCGGAAGGAGAGGACTCTGCTGCCCCCTTAGTGCCTCCTTTCTTTGGCTTCTGCACAGGGTTCCAAAAGATGCCCTGTGTCCACTCCATCTAGCCGGAAAAAGCCCAGCCCAGGCCAGCAACTCCTGGATAGTTTCTTTCGGCCTCACATCCCGACGGATGCATCCAGCCTCAACAGTACTGCCCAGTGACACCTCTGGAAGCCCCCACTTCTGAGAATCCGGTTTTTTAATAAAGTGCTTATTTTTATAGTCATTTTGGAGACTTTCCACCCCCTCCCTAGCCCACTTGTTCTTCCCCTCGGAGGGACCCAGAAAGTGGTAAAATCCTGCTTGGTGCTGACTCCCACTGCATGAGCTCCCAGCCAGCCCCAGGCAAATGGAGGTGGGTGTTCTGTCCAGAGTGATCTGTCCTCCCCCAACCCTCAGGAGAGAGGGAGAAAGCAGCTGCAGAGGGCCCCTGCTTGTGGCTAACACCCAACACCCTTGGTCCAGATCTCTGGTCAGCTCTGACTAGAGCAGTGGTATTGTCCTACAGCAGGTGGTTGGGCTCAGCCCTGACCCAACCCCTCCCCACCTGCAGAGGCTGCTCCCTAGGGAGAGGGGAAATGGGAGGATTTGTTCTGTCTTAAATTCCTACTTCAAATACTAAATTTATTTCTCTATTGTTTCATACGTAGTGAAATAACAGAGCAAATCAAGGGGTTAATAGTAAAATTGGGGGATAGGGTGGAGAGAAATGGGATCAGAGAAGGTCACAAAGATGGTTCAAAAGTATTGGGAAGTTCTATTTCCTAATTATGTAATCCCTTTATTCTTTATATCTTGCATATATATTAGTTATAGACAACGTAAGAACATTTCATAGTTCAAAACAAAACAAAATCCCACCTCTTTGGACCCCAGTGAGAGCATCAAGTTCTCATAGGCACCAAAGAGATGGTGCCCCTGGGGACAAAGCACCCCAAGCCTCTGCAGGTGTTTCTCAGTTCCAGCTGGGCTGGTGCTCCCCAGCCCCAGTCTTCCTCAGGCTTCCCGGTCCCTGGCGGCTTGCTCCTGCACCGACTGCCACAGGGCCCGGATGTTGCCCTGGCCAAAGCCTGTGGCCCCCTGCCTCTGAATCAGCTCCAGGAAGAAGGTGTCCTCTGGAAAGAGAGACTTGGTGAAGACCTGAAGCAGAAACTTGCCTTCATCACCGTCCAGCAGGATCCCCTGTCGGGCCAGCACGCTAGGCTCATGCCCAGCAGCTAGGATCTGCCTCTCCTTGCCCGGCTGCTGGTAGTATGCCTCAGGAGGAGCCAGGAGCCGGCCCCCAGCCACTGCTACCCCCTCACTGGCTTCTACGATGTTCGGCGTGTAGAGCCCCACGTGCTGCAATCCTGGTCCCCTGTGCCGGGCCAGGAACTGCTCCACCTGGTCCTGTCCACTAGAATCCCCCGGCAGGGTCTCAGCCAGCACGAGGGTGGGGACAGCACTGCCTGGGGGGGTCTGCAGGGCGGTGAGCTTCAGTCCCCCTCGCCCAGATCCTGCTGTCACCTCGAGGCCCATCTCCGGATCCTCACCTGGACTCAGTGGCAGGTGGCGAAAGTCTAGACAGTCGTAGAACCAGCGCATCAGTGTGGGGGAGCTGCCAGGGGTGCAGGCCAGGGTCAGGTGGTCCACGTGGCTGACCCAGCCCGGGCTGGCTGCAGAGGCCATAGGCTGGAATCCCGGGAGGAAAGGCCCTCGGAAGCCGGCACGCTCCAGGAGTGTCAGGCTGAGGTTGCCGGCGGGCGAGCTGACCACAGCGTAGGTGGCTGTGCCCTGCGTATCCTTCACGCTAACCGGGGGCACCGGCACGCTGCAGCCCCGCGCGACCAACGCCCGGGCGGCGGCGCCCGCGTCCGCCACGTCGAAGCACAGGTTGGTGGCGCTGGGCACAGCATGACGTGGGTCCAGGCCGTACAGCGGCTCCCGCGGCCCTGCGCCCTCGTTCACCAAAAAGACCGCGTCGCCGCTGCGCAGGGCCAACTGCCGCCAGCCTTCTGCTTCCCGCACCGCCAGGGGCTGGAATCCGAAGAGACGCTGCAGATCCTGGGTGAGGGGCTGCCCCGCGGGCACGTGGAAGGCAATGTGGCACAGACGACGGGCGTGCACGGCCATGGCGGTCCGGATGGGGACCCTGGCTTGTCCTTCCCCTAGCGCCGCTCACCTGTCTTTTCAGGACTCCCGGACTCTCCGTCCCAGGTTTGTCGTCGGAAGCCTGTGGAGTCCAGTTTGCCCCCAGAGTGCGTTCCTCGCTCTTTTCCAAGAAGTCACGGACCGACCCCTGTGGGGCTCGCGATTCTCCCGGCCACACCCTCTCCAGCCCGGAGCTGCGTGGCGACCCCCCCCCTGCCCCCGGGTCTGCGCGGCGGGTGGTGAAAACCACGTGGAGCCAGAGCTAGGGTGGAGCCGGAGAGAGGGGGCGGTGCCAGTGACTGCGGCTCGCACTCTCCCCCTCCCACCCAGACGCTGTCGCGAAGGGTACGGCGGGGACGCAGGACTGCCCTTTCCCAGAGCCTCTGGATGGGCCATGCCCCCCCCCCCCCGCCACACACACACACAGCCCACGGAGATCACAGTAGCTGCCTTCACTCGGTGCCAGGCTTTCTCTCGTCCCCTAAACTGAGAGCTGGGGGGAGGAGCCAGGATTCCTAACCCCCTACCCCCGCCCCAAGCACGGAATTTCTTTTTTTTTTTTTAATTTTATTTATTTATTTGAGAGAGCGAGAATGAGAGAGAGAGAGAGCACATGAGAGGGGGGAGGGTCAGAGGGAGAGGCAGACTCCCCGCTGACCAGGGAGCCCGATGCGGGACTCGATCCCGGGACTCCAGGATCATGACCTGAGCCCAAGGCAGCCGCTTAACCGACTGAGCCACCCAGGCGCCCCCAAGCACGGAATTTCTTACCAATGTCATGTTCTAGCTTAAAAATTCTAGAGAATTTTGCCTTTGACTCGTAATGTTCATTTAAAACTTTAAAAAATATTAAAATGTTTTAAGTTACAGATTTTCTTTCCTCCCCAAATTGGTCCAGAGAAACTGATGTTATAGGAAGATAGGTTATTTGCACAGCTCCTACAAACCTCTCTCCTTTCCTCCTTTCTCTCTGCCAGTCTCTCAAGTGCACCTATCTCTTTCTTCAACCCCACTTCTCTCTCAACAATCTTTTGCCCCCTTGTTCCAAGCAAGATTTGGAGAAAAAACTGATGGCTCAGGACTGGAAAGAAACAGCAGCATTCGTGTCCTTTCCCACCCTCCTGACCCTATAGGACTAGAACTCAAGCCCTCCTTGAAGCTTCCTGACTGGGTATTGGGCCAGAGGAGCTTTCCAGTGAGATCACTGGATTGAGGAAAGTAGAAGTCTTCTGAGACTTCAACGGGTGGCTCTTGGAGGGTTTGGGAAGGGCACTTCAAGAAGGGTAAATGGCATAAGCAAAAAGGCCAGTGAAGAATATGAACCAAACCCTCAGAGGAGCAACAGAGCATAAGGTTGGAGACATCTGAGATGGATGCTATGGTTCCAGGCATTGCAAAGGAGATTCCTTTGTCAGGGAATCTGATATAATACCATTCAGTATTACATCATTGGCAAGTTCACTGGCAAGAGGAAGAAAGATGTGATGGAGAGACAGGGCTGCGAAAAAAAGGCCTGGCTGTCTGTTCAGTCTTGCAGCCAGGAAGGCAGTACCCAGAAACTGATCAGCGGTGGTAAAAGGCACTTGGTGCTACTCTGCAGACTAGTAAATTGGAGAACATGGGTTCCAAAAGCCAGATAGACCTGGGTTTGAAAACTACCTCCAATATTTAGTAAGCTGTATGAGTCGGGGCAAGTTGCTTACCTTCTCTGAGGCTGTTTTCTCCTCTGTAAAAAATGGGAATAATAATAGTACCTACTTCATAGGGTTGTTGTGATTAAATAAGATGGTATATGTTGCAGCCTGGCCAGGGGTCCAGGATTTAGCCTGTGAACCGGGGCCCAGCTATGTGGGCTCAGGGCATACAAAGTGGGTTTGTATGTCACAAGGAGAGGGGCTGCAGCAGGACTCAGAATAACAACCACATTAGGACTCCTCCTAGGAGACTTGAGCACTGGGAAGGCTCTAGGAAGGCCCTGGGTTTGGTGTGGATTCTGGGGGAAGGGCCCCTGGGAACAGGGCTCTGTGAGGGCTGGGGCAGCATAGGTTTCTTCTGTCCCCACTATCATGGTCAGGGCCCCAGGTGAGCAGCTCTAGTGCCTCCAGGCCTTTAGTCCAGCCAAAGGGGTTTCCACTCAAGGGCCCTATCTATGGACAGAGGGAACAGAAACCGGCCCCCTGACCCATCACTTCCCACCTGCTCCTGAGGGAGAGGGTAGATTTCTAAAGGCCAAGTAGGGTCTGACTTCAAGAAAGGGAGATCTTGGTTAGGGCATATTGTCCTGCAAGGTTAGGGCATGTTGTCCTGTCCTGTCCCCCACTGTGCTTGACCTTGACCCAGAACGCAGGCTGGACTCTTTAGAGGCCAGCTAGGGGGGTGGGGGTAGAGGTGGTCATTGATGTTGGTCTCCCTCCAAGCCAGATTCCCAATTCCTGCTGCCCTACTGGCATCTGGGCTGTGACCAATGTAGGGCCCCTGTCTCCGTGCGGTCGGGACCCTGGGGGCACTTTCGCAAGATGGCGTCCTCCGTGCCTGGCCGCAACTGCCTTCTTGCTGGGGCTAGGGATGCTGAGGGTGGACGCTGGAGGGCACGCCCGTCCGAGGGCTGAGGCGATGGCGCTGCAGGCCTCCTGCCACAACTGCCTTCCACAGCGGCCAGGTCAGCGGAGGTGTAGGCGGGGGCTGTGGAGGTCCTGTGCAGGTCCTGAACCTCTGGAACCACGTCCCTTCTGCAGCTCTCAGCCTAAGCCCGGGGGCTGGCGGACGTGCACTCCTCTCTCCGAAAACCCTGAGCCCAACCCCTATTCCGCCTCTCCTCTTCCGGCCCGAAATGGCGTTCCTCTCCCGGAACTCGCGCCTTTCAGGCCCGCCCCCCCTTCCTTCCCTCCTGGGCCGGGTGGGTGATTATCAGTGACTGTTGTTGTTTTTTTTTTCCCCCAAACATGACCTCTAGGTGTCACCCTTAGCCTCAGCTTAACCTGCCCCTGCCGCGCTCCTTCCCTCTCCCCTTCTCGTGGAGGCGGCTCCAGACGCTTCCGCCTTTCTCGCCCAGCCCCTGCCCGGCCTCCACCTGATTCCGTTTCTCCCCTAGTCCGTGGAGGGCTTGACATTTTACAAAGGGTGGCCTGGAAGACCTCACAGAGAAGGTGACTTGTGTGTGTGTATGCAAGTGTGGTAAAATACACATAAGGGGAATATTTACCTTGTTAGCCATTTCTAAGTGTACAGTTCAGTACAGTTAAGTACCTCCATCATCTATCTAGGGAACTCTTTCCTTAGTCCCCAGCTGAAACTCTGCGCATTAAAGAACTCACCTCTCTCCCCTCCCCCCAACCCCTGGAACCACGAGTCTACTTTTGACTACGCTAGAGCTTCATATGAGTGAAATCATGAAGTATTTGCCTTTCTGTCCAACACGTTGTTCAATGGACAATTTTCAGATCTCATCTCACTGCCTCTCAGAAATATTTGATGCAGTTGGCCACTGTCTACTTTCTGAAATACTCTTGCCCCCCTTTTATAATATCATACTCACTTGGTTTTCCTTTGGCGCGTTCCCGCTCCTGTCTCTGCCTTTTTTTTTTTTTAAAGATTTTATTTATTTATTTAATTGACAGAGAGGGAACACAAGCAGGGTGAGTGGGAGAGGGAGAAGCAGGCTTCCCGGCGAGCAGGGAGCCCGGTGCGGGGCTCAATCCCAGGACGCTGGGATCATGACCTGAGCCGAAGGCAGTCGCTTAACCAACTGAGCCACCCAGGTGCCCCTCTGCCTATTTTTAAATGTTGGTGCTGCTAAGGGCTTCAGTTACCATCTCCTTGCTAGATCATCCCCACATTTATGTCCCTCTTCCTAATCTTTATTCAACTGCTTATTTACTGTCTTCATTTGGATGTCCCACTGTCACCTCAGATTCAACATGCCCAACATTGTCCCGTTCTTCTCATGCTCCCATCTCAGCACCTGCCCCGCTGGTCTCCCATGGTCCTATTCGGAAACCTACATCATTTTTGAACCTTGCTGTTTCTCATCCCTCACCTCCAGTAAGTCACTGTGTCCCTGCCCATTCTATTTCCATAACATCTCTCAAACCATCACCTTCCTCTTCATTGTATCAGCCAAGTGCAGGGCTTCACAGTCTCTGCATCACCTGGGCACTACAATTGCCTGCCTGGCTTTAGGTTTACTACTGTTCTAACCAGTCTCCTCCTTGTAGCCAGAGTTAGCTTTGAAAAATGTAGATCTGATTATGTTACTATCCTGCTTAAAACCTTCACTAAATTCCGCTTGCACTTAGAGTAAAGACAAAAAAATTTCCCCTAGCTGATCAGCCGCTGACAACCTTTCCAACTTTTGTTGTCACCCCCCACCCCCCGCCCTGGTCCCATACTGTAGTTTCTTGAAAGTTTCCTGCTTCTTCCCACTCAGAACTTTGGTCTTTGCTGTTCCCTCCTGCCTAGAATAATTTCTTTCCCACTTGCCTTGACCTGGCTAACACTTTATCAATCAGTAGGTCTCAGCTTAACTTGTTTGAGGATGTCTTCCAAGACCCCCAAGACTTATGTCCAGTGCCTCAGTATTTATTAATGAACAAAGGCCTCAAGGGGCTGGTGGGTGATTATCAGACTGCACTTTTTAACATAACCTCTAGATGTCACCCACGACCTCTGCTTAACAGGGACTTGGCTGGGAACTTGGAAGGAGGGGCTGATTAGGCGCCCACCTGGCCCATCCATCCAGCTGGGAGAGGTTATGGGAAGCCCAGCTTCTTCTCTCAGGTCTGACAACTACTCCGCCTGCTCTGGGTCAGCTGCCTTGATAGGATGACCAGCCATCTCAGTTTTCCCAAGACTGAATTTCCGGTGCTCCCAAGATGTGGAAATTTCAGTCCTTATACTGGGACAATCCCAGGCAAACCATGGACAGAGGGGTCAAAACTTCCATGTCTACATGAGACTAAGGTCTAGGCCTAGCAGGAGAGCTAAGCTATAACCCAGCCAAGCTCATCACAGCAACACCACTGGTGGGCTGACCTTGCAGCCTGGTGGTTGTAAGAATTTAGGGACAGAAAGTATATATATATGTATGTATATATATTTATCATTTTTTAAAAAAAGATTTTACTTATTTATTAGAGGGAGAAAGCTCGAGAATTACAGAGAGAGGGAGAGAGCAGGAGCAGGGGCAGGGGGAGAGGGAAA